GGTATGGTTAGATCAAAGCTGTAGTTTAGGGAATACTGAATATTCTTTTTAAGATAACCTTGTCCTTCTTTGTTGGAAGGAAATAATGTATTATTAATCAGTGCCAGTAAAATGTTATCACGTATGGGTGTATTATAGTCCTTTGTCAGAGGAGAGTCAGAATACCATTCAGGCACTAACTACAGTGCCTTCTTTCTATAGGGTTCTGATTATTTCTAGGACAAATTATTTTAAATATATTTTAAAATGTATTTTATCCCAAATTACTTCATGCTATTTTTCTACCTCTTTAAATACCTTAAGTACAATGAAGGGAAAATAATCTGAATTCAACAGAAGTGTCTCCATAATTTTTCAACTTTACCAATTCCCCTTTGATTAATACTACTAAATTTAATAATTTTATAAAAATCTGGGTGAACCAATTCTCTCTTGGTACTTAAATGACAATTATTGAAAATAAAAGAAAGAATGAATGCCATCTTAGGAAGCCAAATCCAAATTTGTTGAACTTAAACATCTCTGTTCCACCAACCTTAAAGTTCTGTTGCAATGAACTTAAAAAAAACCACCTTGCTTTGAAAAGTACCACCACTTTAAATCTGGTAATAAATAATTAAATAAATAAATAACTGCCTTCTCTCCGAGCTTACTTCCTTCCCCCTGTTCTGATTCTCTCTGGTCCATTTCCCTTATTAACCAATATATTATTTATGTATCATTTGGTTAAGGAATAGTTAGTGATAAAAAGAAAAGCTTTATCTTGCCTACCTGCTCAGTTTGAAAAAGAGGGTTTATATTGTCTTCAAGAAAATTCATTTTATCAACATTATTAAACCTTTGAAGAAAGTAACATTTTCTATCTGTGAATGGAGTTAAGCTTCCATAAGGTTGTATTTACTTTCTCAAGAAAAAAATGAAGCATAGTATTGATGTACACTGTTGTGTTAGTTTCAGGTATATAGGAAGGTGATTCAGTTCTGTATATGTTATACATATACATACATATGAATATATATGTATATTCTTTTTTTCAGATTCTTTTCCATTATAGGTTATTACAAGATACTGAATGTAGTTCTCTGTGCCATACAGTAGGTCTCTGTTGTTTATCTATTTTATATTAATATAAATATTTCTTAATTCCAAATTTCTAATTTATCCCTCTCTCCCCTCTTATCTTTACTGATTTTTAATTTCCAATGAATTTCTTATTGCTTATTAAACAGTTATTCTCATGTTTTATTTTCTCTTTTATCCTGTAAACTAAGGGTAATTTGTGAGAATAGGGAAGAGTATGAGAGTGAATGGAAGCAATACTATATACTCAAAGAATACAGCCAGTGCCAGTCCTGCATATTAAACAAACACCTGGGTCATGCAAGTGAATATATTACACTGATGTTCAGGAAAGACCACGGTGAGGTATCAAAATTATATCAAAAAATTACAAAATGGCTCCAAGGGCGCAGGAATAAAATTAAGTTGCTCTTCTTAACAAATCCTACTTGAAATGGGTAAACCAATTATTTGGGATATGCCACTGACTGCCATCAGGGCATAATGACACTTTGCTTAGCAATTAGCCATCCAAGAAGAAAGCAAACCACAGTCTGATAAATAAGCACTGAATACATGAACATGGAATCTACCAGAACTAAGGATGATTGAACAGTTTCACTTAGATCATTTACGTTTCTGCCTTTTTTAAAAAAAATTAATGATAGAAATTCAACTTTACTAATAATTTATATTCTTATCTGACTTTATCATCATAAGGAACATCTACTTTCTTTCTGCTGGTGGGATCAGATGAAGCAAAGGCAGAGTAACCTGCCTTGCTTCAGTCCCAATAATACTCCATGCATCACCCCTTTCTACTTTAGGTAGCAATGCTTCTATACACTCAACTATAGATAAACTAGTCAATATCCATCAGGAACGAAATGTAAATGCAGTGTAACATCTCACCCTTTGCCCAGATTTGGAACAGACTGCTTCCGTTTTCACTAGCAATCATGAGAAAATAAAAAAGATTGGAAAGTATAAACACACCACTTTATCCAAGTCATGAGTACTCTGCATGCCTCATCGTTGGAAAGCAATGAAATGCCCAGCAAGGAAAACCAGGATACATCTTGCTTACCTTTGCAAACAACAATCCAGAACTAGCTCAAGACCACACACGCATAAAAACATCCTCGAAAGAGAATGACATCCAAGCGAACTGCGGATTCTTTACTAGCATTTCCATCCGGTTGCCAAACCTTGACTGGGCTCTGCAATTCAAACTGTGCCTTGTAACACCTGAATGCCCCCCTTTAAAAGCTTCCTATTCAAAATGGTACTGCCACTTTACTATTTTTCGTTATCAGTATCAGTCTGGGGGAAGGTAGCTTGAGGACCTGGTACCAAAATTGAGGAGAGGAGGGCAGAGATCAGTCTTGCCTAAGGTGAACACAGAACGGTGAGAGGAACTTACCCGATTCCCCTGTATGAATGCTGAAATGGAAATGGAATGATAATAATCGTCCCCTCTGGCACAGTTTCTTTTAAGAGAAGTGACTCGTCCTGTTTGCTATGCCTGCAACCTTAGAGATGTAGTTGCTCTGCTCACATGCTGACTTGAAGTTAGACACTGGGTCTCATCTCGCAGACGCATCCGGATTCCCTTTCCTGGAGCTCACCAGCTCTGCTGAGAAGTCCACCGGTCTGGACTAAGAGAACACTATTTCTCCACCCTCCTGGGTCTCAGGACCCCTAGACGGCAGTTGGTTGGCTGGTATCTCCCTGGCCATAGTGCTCCCTTTCTGCCCTCTATGCCCGACAAAAAAGTTTAGAGAGATAGAGAAAGGGAGGAAGGGTGAGGGATGAATGAACGCTTCTGAAGCAAAAGGGGCTCGGCTGAAACTAGGCAGTTCTCATCAGGGACTGATCCGTGGCTTGCGCGCGCGCGCGTGTGTGCGTGCGTGTATGTGTGTGTCCCTTTCCTCCCCCGAGGGTGGGATTTCCCCCATTCTCAGCTCAGCTCGGATCGTCTGCTGTTTCAATGTTCTTTGCATAGCTATTCTGATGCACTGCCATGCGTGAAATGGATGATTTGCAAGCTTCTCTGTCCCACGCAATTCCGTGGATAATCATATATCCAGATTCTGCACGGGCAAGGGAATCGGTCCTTAATGGAAAGGGATTGACTTCCCACGACCGAAAGGAACGAAGAGTGTTGGCTAGGGAAGCGGGTCAGGTGGTGGGAAGCCAGCCGCCTGGGCTCTGGCCTTGGTGCTGAATGCGAAAGTCGCTGCCCAACCGGTTCAGCGTCCCCGGATCAACTTTGGGAGATTTCATGGGGCCCGGCTAGTTCTAGACATCCCCTCGCAGGCTGCCGGCTAGGAGCTGGGTAAAGCCCATGCCCTGGGACCCTCCGCAGGACACTTGGCTGCCTTATTTCTTTGCTCAGATCTGGGAAAGTTTTGTCCAACGTTTATTTGTAACCGGAGTCACTTTCCCCCTCCCACCTGGGTCGCCATGGAGACTTGAGCTCTTTCTTTTTTTTTTTTTTTTCTCCAGGCAAAATGGGCGAAGCTTAGTTAGCTCAGCCCTGACGGTAGCAAGCCCCTTCTTTTTAAGCAGCTCCTGGGCATCCCTCTCCTCCATTTTCCAGCAGAAGAAAGGTAGGCAGGGAATGGTGCTGGCTGAAATGTGGCATTGTACCCGGTTCTGTGGGGGCTCCTTGTGACCAGCAGACTTTGGATAAAAGCAGTCAGTAGACATGCTAACCGAATGATAAATCTCCAACTCCTGCACATGGGAGTTTCACCCCCCCCCCTTCTTCTTTGGGGAGTGGAGGCAGGATTCTTCAGAAAATTCTGGTATTTTGTTTCTACACTAATCTCACCCCATTACTGTGGCTGTGTCTGTCAAGCTATGGTTCCTCTCTAAGAGCCTCTCCATACCTGGTACAAGAGATGTACCTGTGGATTGACTCAAAGGTTTTATTGGGTCTGGGGAATACTAATGTTATTTCTGTTAAAAACTCATTCAAGCTCAATGTCTTGATGCAAATGAACATATACCCAGGAGGAAGCAAGCCAGAGGATTCACCCAATCCCCTAAATGCAGTAAACATCTCATTTTATCATTTAGAGGTTTTTGTTGTTGGTGGTGATTTTTCCCTTCTTATAATTATAAAACAATTCAGCTTACTCCTGGGGAGAGCGTCCTGTCACTGTTGCTAGTCGTTATATCATGACTGGTTGTACTGGTTGAGGACATTGGGAGTTATTGTTTCCCCTTGTCGGTTTGTTTCTGCCCACCCCTCACTTTTTCTTTCCCTCCTTCTCATGTTTCTCTCTCCGTCTCTCTCCTCCTCTCCTCTAGGCAAAGAGCAAGGATACAGCTTTCCACAAAGACGATGGGCTTCTCCCAACTGTGAATGTCTACACAGCAAGCCACCCCTGCCAGTCCGTCCCTGCGTTTCATCTTTGCCAACGGATGTTGAAATGATGTCTGTAATCACTGACGGGGTTTCTCTGAGCCCTGAGCATGCAGACCCCTCCTCTCCCCGCCCCCCCCCCTCCGCCCCCCTAGAGAGTTTTCAGTCGCTAATGAGAACCGTATGAAACAGATTTCCCTTCTGTTATGTAACCTGCTTCTCTCTCGCCTGTTCCTTGATTTGGGCATACCCCGTTTCTCATCAGAGTGGAGATGCATGCAGCGGCGGAAGCTGGGGAGGGGGAAGTGGGGACCCGAGGGCACGAAACCTCTTGCCCAGGTCGATGCCAGCTTCTTGCCTGCCAGCAACTCGGCGCACCGCTTACCTTGCTGCGGACCGGGTGGCTTCATTCAATCATGATCCTCTCTCCTGGAGCGGAGCAAGCTTTAATAATTCACTTACACGATGGAGAGCGAGGGGAGCAAAAAAAAAAAAAAAAAAAAAGACAAGAAAAAAAAAAAAAACCCACATAAAAAGAACAAAACCGGGGTTTTCAGATGGTCAAATCTCACATCGGCCCCGGGAGGCGGTTAGGAGACTCCATTCTCCTCGCGGCGCAGGCAGCTCCCGGTCTAGCTTCCAGGTTCCCGCGGGTCCCCACCCCTCCGCCCGCCCAGCCTCTCCGGCCAGGTGCGGCCGGCCGTCTTGGAACTGGCTCCCTCTGGCCGCAAGCGGAGAGCCGGACTGGGCGCCGGGGGTGCCAACCGAGGGGCGGAGGGGTGTGCGATCGAGCAGGGGCGGGGGAGGGGGGGCGGAGACCGGGTGGAGAGAGAGGGAAGGGGGGAAAAGGCGAGAGTGGCGGAAAGGAAAAAAAAAAAATCCCTGGATAGGAGAAAAGTGCTGGACCACGCAGGGAGACGTCATGAAAGCCGCAGATTCGAAGAATGGTCCTCAGTTCCAGGCGGCTGGCCGAGCCCGGCTGGCAGCGCACGAAGCGATCAAAGCGAGCGCAGCGCCGCGCGCTGGAGGCAAAGCGGCCGCACAGCGCTTTCCGAGAGAAGCGGGGGGGCGGGGGGCCCGGCGTGCGGGGGTGGCGGGGGGGAGCGGGGGACGGCGCGGGAGACCTGGGAAAGCCCACTCGCCGCCCCTTTTCATCACCCGTGTCGCTCCAGATCGCCCGGATTAGGGGTGTAGAGGGAAGCATCTCTCCGATGCCCCCGCACCCCGTCCTCCCCAAATCCCAGCCAGTGCGGAAACAGCCAAGGCAAACCCCACCCCTCAAACACGAAACTGGGAAAGTGGGGCGCTAGAGGTCCGGGAGGGTTAGGGTTAGCCTCCGGTCCCCACCATTCCTCCCGAGCCGTCTTGAGTTATTCTCGGAGATAAAGCCTGCAAAGCAGGGAAGCCGAAGCTCGCGGGTGCAGGGGTGGGGTGGGGAGGGATCAGTGTTTGACTTCGGGTGGGGAGGGGGCGCCCTTTCTTTCATGCCTTTGTGACATCAGGGAAAAGAGTTTCTTGTCCGTGGTTCCCTCTGGGCTCGGATGGTGGAGGCACCTCGGGGTGGGGTGGGGGGCCGGGGAAGCCGGAGGGCGCACCTTCCGCGTGGCCGGGAGGGGGCGCCGCGAGGGGCTGCGTGAGAGCCGAGGGACAGCGCCCCCAACGCGTGCCCCGCCCAGACCAGCCGCTGCCCGGCCCCTAGCCTCGCCCCGTGCTGGCTCTGCTGTGACGCTGGAGAAGGGAAGGCGACTGTGGGCTTTTTCATTCGTAATCCGGGTTGCCTTCAAAGCTGACTTTGTCAGGTCCTGCACCACCGCCTGCCCCCCACCTTTAGAGTTTTAAACTTGCTTTGTATGGTTGTTGGAGAAGGAAAAGGCAACCCAACTCCAGTATTTTTGCCTGCAGAATCCCACGGACGGAGGAGCCTGGTGGGCTACAGTCTATGGAGTCACAAAGAGTCAGACACGACGGAGTGACTATCACATCACTTATATCGTTATTCCGGGGAACACCTTGGAGTGCGCCCCTCCGAAACCCTTCTTTTTTCTCAGATCTTTACAAACAGTACTTCCACCTTTCCAAAGCCTTTCCACGTTGGTTCAGGCTCCTTCAGTCCACTGTTTTTTTTTGTTTTTGTTTTTTCCTTTTTTAATTTAGCACTGTTCAGTTCAGTTCAGGAGAAGGCAATGGCAACCCACTCCAGTAGTCTTGCCTGGAAAATCCCACGGAGGGAGGAGCTTGGTAGGCTGCAGTCCATGGGGTGGAGAAGAGTGGGACACGACTGAGCGACTTCACTTTCACTTTTCACTTTCATGCATTAGAGAAGGAAATGGCAACCCCCTCCAGTGCTCTTGCCTGGAGAATCCCAGGGACGGCGGAGCCTGGTGGGCTGCCAGCTATGGGGTCGCACAGAGTTGGACACGACTGAAGTGACTTGGCAGCAGCAGCAGCAGTCCAGTTCAGTCGCTCAGTCGTGTCTGACTCTCTGCCGCCCCATGGGCTGCAGCACGCCAGGCCTTGCTGTCCATCACCAACTCCCCTGGTTTACTCAGATTCATGTCCATTGAGTCGGTGATGCCATCCAACCATCTCATCCTCTGTCATTCCGTTCTCCTCCTGCCTTCAATCTTTCCCAGAATCAGGGTCTTTTCCAATGAGTCAGTTCTTCGAATCAGGTGGCCAAAGTATTGGAGCTTCAGCTTCAGCATCAATCTTTCCAGTGAATATTCAGGGCTTGTTTCCTTTGGGATGGACTGGTTGGGTCTTAGTTATGCCATGCGGGATCTTTAGTCTCGGGCCAGGGACTCAGTAGTTGGGGCACACTGGGACCAGGGCAGTTGGTTTCAGTTGTTGCCTGGCAGGGGGCTTAGTTGCCGTCCAGCAGGTGGGATCTTAGGTCACGTCCCAGGAATTGAACCTGCCCTGGATTGCAAGGTGGATTGTTAACCACCAGACGAGCAGGGAAGTCTCATGCTATCCATTCTTTCATGTTATCTTTTTCCTGGGATAAATGGGTTGACCAGTTGGGAGAGCATTGAATACCATTTGTTGATTATTTTGTAACATCTCTTTCAGAAACTGGCTGTTTTTGTGCCTTTTTTGTAAAGCAGCTTTCCTTCTGCAGAATCTCCATTTCCAAGAAGGTGACCATATTCAAGAGCAAGGGCTGGCCAGGACCTCTTATTTCCAAGATTATTTTATTCTCTACCTGCATACTTTCTAATTACACAGCAGTTCCATTCCTGAAGAATGCCTTTTGTATGCAGAAGTGCTTGCCTCAAATTTGCATCATCAGTTATATGCAGATCAAACACAGGCACAACCTGTGGGCTCAAACTTGCTGATTTTCCCGAAAAGGTTTTGTAATCTCACTTGCTCTTACTTCTGAGTCACACAGTTCAGTTCAGTTCAGTCATTCAGTCTTGTCCAACTCTTTGTGACTCCATGAACCGCAGCATGCCAGGCCTCCCTGTCCATCACCAACTCCCAGAGTTTACTCAAATTCATATCCATTGAGTCGGTGATGCCATCCAACCATCTCATCTTCTGTCATCCCCTTCTCCTCCTCCCTTCAATCTTTCCCAGCATCAGGGTCTTTTCCAATGAGTCAGCTCTTCACATCAGGTGGCCAAAGTATTGGAATTTCAGCTTCAGCATCAGTCCTTCCAATGAACACCCAGGACTGATCTCCTTTAGGATGGACTGGTTGGATCTCCTTGCAGTCCAAGGGACTCTCAAGAGTCTTCTCCAACACCACGGTTCAAAAGCATCAACTCTTTGGTGCTCAGCTTTCTTTAGAGTCCAACTCTCACATCCGTACATGACCACTGGAAAAATCATAGCCTTGACTAGATGGACCTTTGTTGGCAAAGTAACGTCTCTGCTTTTTAATATGCTGTCTAGGTTGGTCGTAACTTTCCTTCCAAGGAGTAAGTGAGTCACACAACCTGTGTGCAAAAAATATCAGGATATGTAATATGTGATTTTCAGGCTCCACAATGCTTGCTGGGACTAGTAATTTCATCAGGGAACCCCAGTTCATCAGGCAAGGTAAGCCACTTCAGCTTACAGTGTACTCTACTCACACTAATCTTAGGATGACTTGAATGTCATTTTGTTAATGGAGTGCGTCAGAGCCTTGCTTTGCCTGATTGACACTTGGAGACCTAGCTCTACATCGTATCTTGCGTGTTAGAGCCTTTTGTCAATGTTTTGGATGATTTTACCAGTAAGCTGGAGAAGGAAATGGCAACTCACTCCAGTATTCTTGCCCGGACAATGCTATGGACAGAGGAGCCTGGTGGGCCACAGTCCATGGGATCGCAAAGAGTCAGACACAACTGAGTGTGTGCATACACACAAAGATAAACAAAGGACAGCTGGGCTCAGCAATCCCCGAGGGACCCTGGAGTAAAGGTGTGAGAGCCAGGATTTTGGTGGAAACCTCCCTAGAATATTAAAAGAACGACTCACATTGACTGTAGTAACCTAAAGATCATTCTATTGATATTTAACCCAGGAAGCTGCTAAGGTTATTTCCACCAAATTTAATTATGTAGGTTTCTACCAGTGGAAGGATTTCATAAGGCATCAGACTGAGTAAGTCAAGAGAGAAGAATCACTTATTTATCTCCTTTAAAACACTTTGAAACCTGACTTGAAACATGAGCCAGGGTGATGGAGGCTGTGGCTCTTCCTCAAATGATGTGAAAGTCCGACTCTTTGTGACCCCACGGACTATACAGTCCATGGAATTCTCCAGAATACTGGAGTGGGTAGCCTTTCCCTTCTCCAGGGGATCATCCCAACCCAGGGATGAAACCCAGGTCTCTGCATTGCAGGTGGATTCTTTACCAGCTGAGCCCCAAGGGAAGCCAAAGAATACTGGAGTGGGAAACCTATCCCTTCTCCAGCAGATCTTCCTTCCCTACCTAGGGATTGAACTGCGGTCTCCTGCATTGCAGGCAGATTCTTTACTAACTGAGCTATGAGGGAAGCCCCCTCCTGAATGGAGTAGGAGTTTGTTTTGAGTGAGGTGGTTCACACATGCATGCCCTGGGATTTAATTAACACCAGCGAGGAGAACGATTGGCTTAACTGAATTCATTTATTCCTGAGGGAGCTCTGACAGTGATCCAAGTGGGTACAACCAGGAGTCTTGGTGACGTCAGGAAATCAGGCAGGCTGGGCTTCAGAGCTGCCCACTGCGGCTCCTCTGAGTTCCTCGGAGCCCCATCTCTCAGGTTACACTTTGTTCAGCATGCCTGGGATCTCACTTATCCGTCTATTTTATGATTTCCCATGAAAGCAAGGGCTGGGGGACGGTGCTCTCAAGCCTTTAGCTCTTTCCATCTCAGTCTCTGGGGAGATGAGTGCTCCATAGCTGACAAAGACAGTGGCTTCCAGGATCCATCAATTGTTTTATACAGATGAGACTGGGTTCTCCCCCACATCCCCAACTCGTAGTGGAGGCTTATTAGCTGCTGGAATTGACAAACTGAATTATCTTGTCTGGCTGTCCTTTGTTGCTGCTAATCTGTTTTTTCTCCATCTTTGACTGTGGCAATTTACAATGCAGTCTCGCTTCCCCACCCACGTGCAGCTCTGGGTTGGCTTTGGGCATGCTGACACTAAGAAGCGAGGTGGATTGTTATTTCTTTTTTTGGATTTTGATTATAAAATTGGAGATATTCTTTTTTTTTTTTGACCAAACTGACCTGTTTTTTATTTTGCTTAGATTAAAAAAAATAATTTTATTTATTTTTGGCTGTGCTGGGTCTTCGTTGCCACATGGACTTTTCTCTAGTTGCAGAGCACAGGCTCAATAGTTGTGGCACGTGAGGTTAGTCGTTCCTTGGCGTGTGGGATTCTCCTGGACCAGATTTCAAACCCGCGTGTCCTGCTCTGGCAGGCAAATTCTTTACCACTGAGTCACCAGGAAGGCCCTGGAGATCCATTCTTAATAAATATCTCTAGGTGAAAAAAATTCAGTACTTTTGCTAAGAAGGGGCTTTCAGACGGGTTTAAGCTCCATAGCATGCTGGATGTTTTAGTGCTATTCTTTAGTGTTAATACTTTTATTCTCTAGCCATTCAGCTATTGCTTTCCTCTTTTTGGATATCTTTCATCTCCTACAGTTTCCTTACTTCAGAATTCCATTCACTGTTCCTAGTTATCTTAGATTATAAGTGCTTATAAACATTTTGA